GATGGTTTAGGTACATTTGACATACTGAATTAAGAGCCATCCAGCCCAGCCTCTCCAGTATTTCCTTCCACTAGATAATATCTGGAAGATATTTTGAGCTGAAGTTTCTAGATGTTGGTACATTTTTGTATATTTTTGGAATCTCAGCCAAAAAAAAAAATAATTCTATTTACTACCTGCTTTCCCCTCCCTCCAAGAATACTTTGTGGGATAGAAATTGGCCATGAATATATAGAGTGTGTTGGCAGAAGCTGAAGATCGGTATTTACCCGTATGAAGATCGGTATAATAATACTGACTTCATTCATAAAGGCCTTTGAGGTCTGTGGATGAAAAATATTATATAAAGAGCAGATATTCTCTGTGCAAACCAGTTTTATAAAGCCACAGTTACTAAAGAAGGGTTCTTTGACAAAGAGGATAAAATTCAGGTTGCAGTCTTCATCAGTTTTTTCTTTTTCCTTTTCTTTCTGTTTCTTGTGTTTGTGTAAATCTGTGAATGCTCAGAAACAGCTTTTGAAAACGTGTTTACAGCCATTCCTAATGAGATTTTTTGGAAGGTGGCTGGTATTTAGGGAAAAAAAAAATGCAGGCTGAAAAAGCATGCACTTTCCAATAATTTTTGTTGATATCTCCTTGGCAAACATTGATTTTTCTTTTTTTCTTGTGATTCAAATGGAGCTTGAAATTAGAATAGCTCTGTTTGTTCCCCTTCTTGTTTGCCTGCCACTGTCGCTGACCTCAGCACTAACCCAGGAACAGGTTTGTTAATCATTCTTACTCCTTCTGGTGGGTTTTACAGTAACAGAGTTCAAATCATGCAGATGCCGTACGGCAGTAACCATCAGCCCTAAATTAAACGAAAAGCCCCACAGACAGGCGTAGAATCCCCCACGGCAGGGCTGGGAAGGTCCCTCCGGGTGGTTCCCTCTTACGTCCTGGAGTACTGAGGCATCTGTGAAGATGCTGAGTACGTGACAAATGAGTCAGTCCCGTGTTTATCTTGTCCCCCGAGCAGTCCTTCTGAATTCAGGGGCCCTTGAACATACTTCAAATTTAGCAAGCGCTTCCGTGTGTTTAGCTGGCGAAGGCCTGAGTCCTGAGGGTGGCACAACATCAGCTCTTGATGCTGCTGCGTTACGGCGTCCCTGCACGGAGAGCTGCAGCAGTGAGTGTGGCAGCCCTTTGGCACGCTGCTCGTGCTTTACCAGGGTGCATTTACCAATACCCGCTTCAGAACATCGCTCTGCTGCTTTTCTATCAAAGTCGAACTCCTCTGTCCAACTTGGTTTTCCATTTGTGGGTGCTCAGTTTCCATTTTGTCTGTTTAAAGGAAGGTAACGTTTGCTGTGAAACCAGACCTAATGTAGAACAGTTACAATAAATATTTTTAGAAATCCTAGGAATAGCCCAGGGTACAAGGTTTAAAAACAGAACTGAAAAACATTCTGTGTCTGAGTTTGTGCCACCAATGCATGTCGTTGGGTAAATGTAGAGTGACTGCATTTCCAGGCAACGTGCAAAGCACGTGGCTGCCCAGCTGGCAGACCCGGGCACACACAATGAGTATTCGATGCTTTACCTGGTCTGAAGGTGCGAAGGAAAAATTGCATACAAAGGTGTTTGCTAAAACCAGATCATTATTTCCTGTATCTTTTTCCATTGGTTGCTTAGGGTGGAAGGATGTGTGGATTTTTAATGTTATAAATTAATGCCACTCTGGCACATGCCATGCTGAGGGATCATAAGTGAAAGACATGATTTACGTGCAGGGTTTGTGTTTTCGGTGGAGTATTCTGAGAGATGCATAACCGCTTTTAATGGAGGTGAGCTTGGAGGCCTCTAAGTGGATGGCACTGACTGTCCACATGAAAAAATATCCCCCGTGGCTTGAGAGGCCCCCTCTGTCAGCAGCTGGAATGGGAGGCACGGATGGCCCTCTGCCCTCCCAGGTGGAAGCAACGTGACAGGTGGGGCAGTCAGGGGCTGTCGGAACCAGCATGGAACGGAGGGAAAACAACAGGTTTGATCATCAAAGAAAATACTTTTTCTGAGCTGCGTCTGCCTTTTCTAACAATGGCAATTATTGCTTTTTGCCTTATATTAGTTAATGATTGCTGTTTTATTTAATAAATTGGCTACAAAATAAACAAGTTAGAGTTTGCTATTGACCTATCAATTATGATGTCTGATTACTCCTCTGGGGAACATATGTAGTCATTTGTCCTGACGTTTTGTTAAAATAAGGTGGTATTATGGGACCAATCCACCTAATTCCTTACTCCCTGGGGCCGTTTAGTGTACTTAGCTGTTAGAAAGGTGATTTCTGAAGCATGACAGCTGTTGGTGTTGGGGCCATTGTGTGGTGAACAAAACCAGTTATGTTCTACTCATGTGCTGCCTTTGTCTCATTGATACAGAAGCCATTTCATAAATTAGATACAACTCTTCCCTAGGAAATTGTGTTACTGCTTTGTATTTCATTGTTGGAGTACATTTAAAAAAAAATCAAAACAAACAACAACAACAAAAAAAAACAACAACAAAAAACAACGCAGCACTACAGTGGAAGGAGATGTTTCAACTTGGTATTGCTGAAAGGTCTATCGGGTTTATCCTACTAGTTGCTGACATTCCTGTCCAGTTATTCTGGTTGATTAGGTACATGACAAGTAGTTTCTCTTTTAATTCTTTTCACCGTTTTATTCATTTTGTTACAAGCCACGTTTCAGCAAAACCATCACTAATAATTTTTCCTCCAGGAGGCATGGCTTTTCTATAAAGTTGCAGCTCTCTGTGTGCAGCAAAGAAAAGCCTGTCTGAGTTCTTGTCTGCAGAGTTCGCAATCCCAAGGGATTGGAATGCCAAGATTAGGGCCTTAAGCCCAGCATCCTCACCGCCTGTTTGCGGTGCCGGGAGATCTCCGCGAGTGTCAGCGCTTGCAGAGCGATGTCAAACGGGGAAGTCAGGGCGCAGCCGTTTGGAACGTTACAAAAAACAGCGTCCGAGTAGTATTTTAAGCAGTGAGGCATGCCTTGAATAATTGGCATTGGTGCTCCTCAGTTCTTAATTCTTCCAGTGAGTTACAGTTTCAATGAAATATAAAAGGTTTTTTCAGTTTCTGAAATGTGGAAATGTTACAGATACATTTTCGGTTATGATCAAAACCCTTTCTACTGGCGAATCCTGCTGCAGGAAGTGTTTAACCACGTTAAAAAGCACTGGCTCTGGATGGGATTGTTGGGTTGTAGATGGCCTGCGTAATGATTTGGGGAGCGATGCAGTCGCTCTGTGGCTTAGCCCGGCTCGTTGGGTTGTTCCGTGGCGCCGGGCATGTGCCAGGTTTCACACAGCCACCATAGGCTACTGTGCTTTTGAAGACATCTTCTGGAATTTTCTTGGTGAAGTCCAGTCCCTGAGATGAATCTGGCTCACCACTGGATGTCATCATTGCACTGTCATGAACTGCAGCCAGAAGAACATTTGTCTGGCAGTAAAAAATCATGTTGCTTGACCAAAGAGGACATTTAATTTTGCGACATTTTAAATTGCTTGCTATAGAGTGATGGCAGTTTGCTGGTAATTGGTCCATAATCCTTCCTTAAGGTATAGGGCAGCACTCTAGTGTGTTATACAGACAGTTCTCCACCTGCTGTAGTGAGGCTATGCTGAAATATCAGCTGTGGGTCTCCACCGTTGCAAAGACATGGTATAAAAGATCCTTTGGGGATCTTGTGTGCCGTGTGCTTCTTGAGAAGGCCGATGTCATTACCACAGCTTTAAAATAAAATACTTATTCTGAATATTGAGTTACTCTGTCATCTAATATATAGAGAATATATTTCTCCTGTAATTTCATAGGAGGAATTCAGAGGACTTAATTTTATTAACTCTGTCTCCTATTTGTAGTAGAGGAAAACCTGTTAGAAGTCTTAGATTGCTTCCTGCCTAAGTGACACAGCAGAAATATATAGGAGAAGCGTCTGACAAATAATAAAAGTAGCTCCATATTCCATTTCTCTTCAGTACACTTACGAATCTGCAGTTATGCATTCTGTGAAATGTGAGCGTATACAACACAGAGCAGTAAGAAAAATGCAAAGTGTGTTGTACTGCAAGACGGAAAGTGTTTCCCTGTCTTTCATCAGAAACTTGAAAACTAAATATAGTTCAAGGCAGAAAAAAAATTGTCAAATGAATATTATTTCTTGACTCTTCCTTGCATATTTGTTTTGAGCATCTCTATTAACTAGTGAAACCTAGAGACACAAATAAAACACACGGAGTTTGTTGTCTTAACCAGTGTATGTGTTAGTAAGAATGGAAACTAACTAAGTTTTTAACTACTAAGTTTTTAAGTAGTTAAAAACTTCATAGTAAGATTTTTGGATTGAGCTCAGTGGCACGGTCATACTAGTTTACTCATCTGACAGCCTAGCTTTCAGTGTAGCTGCTCTGTATTTAAGAAAAAAGAAGGCTAATTCTATCATTTTGGAAGAGAGTTTTCTATTAAACGCACAAAGACATCGAAGATATAAGTTCCTAATTAATTTACAAGTAAAACCTTTTCCAAGAATAAAACAGCAAGAGGAAAAACTGCTCTAGAAGGTATAAAAATGGCCTTAATGTTATGTAAACATATGTTCCCCAGGTGCTAGCTAAATGGTAGTGAATGATAGAAGAGGTGGTGTTTTCTCCTCTCTTACAAGGGCTCCGTAGCATCTTTTCCAAGAGAGGCCAGACCATTAAGCTCTGCCAATTTTCTGTGACCTATCAAACATGCCCATATCTCACCATTCTAGTACCAGTTGTCTACTTTGTTATATTGTGCTGGGCACGGAAGAGCCACAGCGTCGGTCGTGTCGGAGAGCCGTAATTGGTTCTGTATGATTGCAAGGCAGCGTGTCGCTGGTGGCTCAGCCTTTCTTGGCAGCCTTTCGCTGGGCTTTCTTCGTGTTTCTTAATGCATTTCTGTGTCATTTTACATGTTTTTTTTACAGCTGAGGTATTCTTTGAACCACATAAATCGAAAGCTGGTACTGGAGTCTAAAGTGTCTATCAACACTAGAATCGTGGTGGTTGGAGCATCTGATGTTGGAATCTCTTTTCTGGAAACGCTCGTTTTTTGGTAAGTTTTTAATTTGATTTCCTTTACTGAGAAGAATATATTACCTTCTGTTTGAAGGGGCTTGCTTCCTCCATTTGGCAGCACACGTTGATTCCACATCCGAGTACTAGGTGGCAAAGGTCTGAGAGTCTGCAGATGTAAAGAGGTACGTGCTTGCATCCTGGCTGACTCTGGAACTCCAAAGTTCTGACAGAGTTGCTCGTAGATCCTCAAGGTGAAGGCACAATGAAAATGAGAATTGCACGTACCCAAAATCTCTTTGACAGTTGTTGTTATACAAAACATTGCCGTTTCTGCCCTTCTGCCATTTTTGCTGCAGACCCTTGTGTGGGTGTGGGAAAGATCTAGCAGAGGACGCTGCTCTCTGGCCGCCACAGCCAGCTCGGTGGCCCACCAAGAGCACAAGCCAGCAGCATACTTTAAAGAACTTTTCAGCAGTAAAACTGCAAAATCGAATTGCTGTGGTTAACTCGAGTTATCCAAACTGGAGTAAATAAACTGTATAAACTGGTTGAGAAGGGGAATAAATGAATGCAACTGGTTTTACACCTTCCACTGTCTAAGCTAGAGTAAATGTGTGGACAAGTTCTGCTGGTTTACAGACTTTCCGAAGTTAGGACAGGGTGCTCCCTCGCTGATATCTCGCTGCCTGCACCTTCTATGCCAGTACTCCCTCTGTGCCAGTTTTAGGGGCTCATCAGGGTGTCAGACTGTATGTGACAATGCCATTCCTTTTCTGCAATTGTGGTTTTCCTCACAGATTAAACATACATACCAGAAATATCTTAAAAGACTTGCAGAAATGAATGTAAAATTAACATTCTGAACACGATTGTTACAATAAAACGTTCATTGCAAAAACCAAGGGAGGCTGGCATTTTTTATGGTTGGCAGTGCCCATTTTTTTCAGTTAAGCCAGGAGTTTGCATTTCTACAACAACCATTAATAACATGATGAATTAACATATCAATGTAGCAAGAGAAGAAGAAGTTGAAGTGCTTTATGGATGTTGATATATTGCTGGAGCAGTGAAGAAGAGAGATACCTGCTTCTTGCTCTTTCTTCTTAGTTCCTGACTTCCTGTAGAGCCTCCCCTCTGGGGGTAAAATCGTTTTCCTCTCATCCTCCTGTTCTCGGCACCTTTTAGGCTTTCAGCTCCTCTCAAAATTCAGTTAAAAACGTACTTTAGAGCTATTAGTGTCAGTCTTGTTATCCATCCTGTGCTGTTTATTGCTATGCTTTCAGTATAAAACACTGTGAGGGAAAAACAAAGCATATTTAAACTCCAAAATCTGTCAGCCAGAAGCTGTGTCTTTCGGCAGCGATCGGGACGTACAGGTAGCGTTGTGTCCGTGGGGCCAGTCCTTTAGAGGTATCCTCCTCTGGGATACCCCAGCCAGGGCTTGGTAGCCAGCAGTTTCGTTTGGGCCAGGTTCTAGCGCAGAGTTCTTGCAGAACGTGTCCTTGTACGTGGGAGAGAACGCTTGTCTGCAGCGCTGCACAAACGGAGCGCTGCGGTTTCAGAGGCACGGAGCGTTGCTCTGGGAATGCAGGAAGCAAGCCGCCAGCGCTCGGTGCGAAATGCCCCAGAGTTTGTGTTCACTTGGTAGCCAGCAGTTTCGTTTGGGCCAGGTTCTAGCGCAGAGTTCTTGCAGAACGTGTCCTTGTACGTGGGAGAGAACGCTTGTCTGCAGCGCTGCACAAACGGAGCGCTGCGGTTTCAGAGGCACGGAGCGTTGCTCTGGGAATGCAGGAAGCAAGCCGCCAGCGCTCGGTGCGAAATGCCCCAGAGTTTGTGTTCATGCAGGTATAAATTTAAGAAGGATTACTTTTTGAATTTTCACATCGGCAGCAGGTAAATTCTCCTGATCGATGTGAAGGCCTTTTAATACAGTTCAGTTTAATTTACTCATAATTTTCTAACGTTCTTTGCAAAGGTTACGTGCACTAAAAATAGCTAGATGGAATCCATTTGTAAGCCCCTAATCCTTAAAAAGAGGAAGTAGTTTTCTCCTCATTATTCTTCGTACTTAATTATTTTACATTATCAGTCACCATGGAAACACAAATGTAATTCACTTACCTACATAACAATTATCAGAACTAGATTTTACAAGTGTTTTCAACTTGTTTGAGACTGGAGAAATACATTTTTCATGGAACAGAGAAATAATGCTGCGCATTACCTCTCCTCGCTGGAGAGCTGCGGCAGGCTGCCTCTCGCTCCTGTTGCGCCGGGGCATGGCAGTGCCCGGGGACGGGCAGCGCTGTCGCTGCTGGAGCAGCGCCGTGGAGCTGCCCTGGGCACCGCTGCTTGTCCGCCCGCACCGAAAATGGGCTTTGTCTAAAATCCGTGCTGCAGGGGAGGGCTCTGCGCTCTGAACTGTGCTCTTGCAGAACGCTGCTTTGCCCCTGTGCTGTGGCTCGTTACCTGGCAGCTGGAGTTTCTGGAAACAGGGATTGTCACATAGGTCAGAGCACTGGTGCCCGTTGTTCCAAAGGGCAGTGCAGAAATGCTGCAAACAAGTATATGGCATGACCTGCCAGCAGGGGAAGCTTCTTCCCAACGCTCGGGTTGCTCCGAGCCCTGGAGAATTGTGTCCGTTGCGCTTAATCTAGCGCCAGGTCGGTGAAGGTGATCTCATTATTCGTGTTTCACCATTCAAATAAATATCTCCTGCTGAGGTTTTTTTCCTTGGCGTGTAATTGCGTGCAGGCATGTGTTTTCAGCTCTAGTGCTACTTTTCTTTAGGATGCATATGAAATTTTTGTTCAAGAACCAGGCGAAGGATGGCGGCAGTGCCAGCAGCCGCGCAGGCAGAGCCCGCGCTCCCTTCTCCGGCTCGC